TTCATCTACATTTTGCCTCAGGGCTTCTTACCTTTCTTTCATTCTGTATATCCTACTCTGTGTCTGGCTGACTGGCCCCAGGCATCCCCCCTGTTTCTCCTTTATTATCTCTCTTCTCCCTCTAGCCTAGATTCCTCCTCCTACTTATTCTCTCTGCCCACCAGTGTGCTTACACCTCTTCTGCCCAGCTATTGGCTATTTATCTTTTTTATTATAAACTGTTTGGCTGATAGCTCAGGCTTCCTACTGGCTAGCTCTCTTAATTATTAACCCATTTCTATTAAACTATGAATTGCCACGAAGTTGTGGCTTACCTGTAATCTGGCGTGTATTCCTTCAGCAGTTACATGGCTTCTCCCTGGTGGCTTCTCTCTGCCTTCCTCTCCCCCGAATTCTCCTCACCTGGTAGCTCTGCCTATACTTCCTGCCTGGCTACAGGCCAATCAGTGTTTTATTCATCAACCAATAAGAGAAACATTTGGCTATTCATCTTTTATTTAGGCCAGTTGTGTGCCTTAGGCAGACAAGGTGAAACAGCAACACATTTTTATGAACTAAACAGATGCAACATAATCAAATACAACACATCTTTACATAATCACAGCAATATTCCACAACACTACTACTGATTCTTGGGGAAGAATAAAATAATGCTTAAATTTCTGCTATCCCAATAGTAATCCATTTTTCAGGTTAAACAAATGATCTTGAGTAACGGACTAATAGATTGAATATTGTGCTGATTAGTATTTCTCTGCTCAACACTAACCAAGACATATATGGGAATGGGGACTCACAATTCAGGGAATTGCTCCATCAGACTGGTCTATGAGCATATCTGTGAGTCACTTTCTTGATTAATGGCTGATGTGGGAAGGATCAGCTTCCTGGTGGGTGATTCCACCCCTGGGCCTATGATTCTGAGTTGTATATAAATGCAACCTGAGCAAGTCATGAGGAGCAGGACAGTCACTCCGCCATAGCCTCTGCTTCAGCTTTTGCTTCCTGCTCCTCAGTCCTCCCTGTCTATCACTGGGTTCCTTGAGTTCAGCTCAGAGTTTAGCTGTGAGTGTCTGCATCTGCTTCTGTCAGTCGCTAGATGAAAATTTGTTTCCCAGACTCTCTGGCAGTGGGATTGTAGGCTGGCACTCCCATGATCCATGTATAAAATCCATATATGAGTGAGTTCTTACCATGTTTGTCTTTTTGTGACTGGGTTACCTCACTCAGAATGGTTTCTTCTAGTGCTGTCCATTTGCCGACAAATTTCAAGATTCCATTGTTTTTTCATTTTTTTGTTTGTTTGTTTTGTTTTTGTTTTTTTCTGGCTGAATAGTATTCCATTGTGTAAATGTACCACATTTTCTCTATCCACTCTTCAGTTGAGGGGCATCTAGGTTGCTTCCAGATTCTGACTATTGCAAACAATGCTGCTATGAATACAGTGGAACAGATGTCTTTATTGTGTAAAAGTGCCTCTTTTGGGTACATGCCTAAGAGTGGAATTGCTGGATCGTGTGGTAGGCTGATTCCCATTTTCCTGAGGAATCTCCATACTGATTTCCAAAGTGGCTGTATGAGTTGACACTCCCACCAGCAGTGAAGGAGTGTTCTCCTTAATCCACATCCTCTACAGCATAAATGGTCATTGGTGTTTTTGCTTTTAACCATTCTGACAGGAGTAAAATGGTATCTCAGAGTTGTTTTGATTTGCATTTCCTGGATGGCTAAGGATGTTGAGCACTTTCTCAAGTGCCTCTCAGCCATTTTAGACTCCTCTATTGAAAATTCCCTATTTAGTTCTGTATCCCACTTTTTAATTGGATTTTTTGTTGTTTTGGAGACGTACTTCTTGAGTTCTTTGTAAATTCTAGAAATCAGCCTCTGTCAGATGTGGGGTTAGTAAATATCTTTTCCCATTCTGTGGGTTACCTTTTTGTCTTGTTGCCTGTGTCCTTTGCTTCTCAGTTTCAGGAGGTCCCATGTATTAATTGTTGACTTCAGTGTCTGTGCTACTGGTATTATGTTCAGGAAGCAGTCTCTTGTACCACTTCGTTCAAGGGCACCTCCCACTTTCTCTTCTAAGAGTTTCAGTGTGGCTGGATTTATGTTGAGGTCTTTGATCAATTTGGGCTTAAGTTTTGTGCATCGTGATAGACATGGATCTACCTGCATTCTTCTATATGCCAGCATCCAGTTCTTAAAGATCCCACTGCTTCCAACTATGACCTCAAGTAACCTTTGGAAAACATTGATAATCCATACTCTAGCATTACCACAACCATTCTTTGGTTGTAATAGTTTAGGTTCTGTCCTTATGAGTGAAACATGAGGTTTTATTTAAGACCACCAGTAACATACCTCTGGCATTTTTCATACTTTAGAGAATTAAAATTTTATATCACTTAGTGGAGTACCCTGAGTGTTATATTGATGTTCTAGAGGACATTATCCTCAAGAAGCAGTTTTTCTTCTATTTCCTTTTTATTTAAATTAGAACAAGCTTGTTTTATATGCCAATCCCAGTTCCCTCTCCCTCCCCTCCTTCCCTGTCCCCCACCAACCCCATATCCTATACATTTTCTGCTTCCCAGGAAGGATAAGCCCTTCCACGGCATATCTTCAAAGTCTGTCATATCATTTGGAGCAGGGCCTAGGCCCTCCCCTATGTATCTAGGCTGAGAGAGTATCCTTCTATGTGGAATGGGCTCCCAATGTCCATTCATATGCTAGAGATACCTACTGATCTACTACCAGAGACCCCATAGATTGACAAGGCCTCCTTACAGACACCCACATTCAGGAGGTCTGGATCAATCTTATGCTGGTTTCCCAGCTTTCAGGCTGGGGTCCATGAGCTTCCCCTTGTTCAGGTCAGCTGTTTCTGTGAGTTTCTCCAGCCTGGTCTTGACCCCTTTCTCATTACTCCTCCCTCCTGAAACTGGATTCCAGAAATTCAGCTCAGTGTTTAACTATGGGTGTCTGCTTCTGCTTCCATCAGTTACTAGATGAAGGCTCTAGGATGGCATATAAGGTATTCATCAATCTCATTATAGGTGAATGGCATTTAAGTTAGCTTCTCCACTATTGCTTAGATTGTTAGATGGTATCATCCTTGTAGATCTCTGGACATTTTCCTAGTGCCAGATTTCTCTTTAAACCTATAATAGCTCCCTCTATTATGGTATCTCTTATCTTGCTCTCCTCTATTCTTCCTCAGACTCAACCTCCCTGCTCCCTCATGTTCTTCTCCCTCCTCCTCTTCTACCCTCGTCTTTCTCCTAACTCCCTCTCCCCTCTTCCATGCTTCCAATTTGCTCAGGAGATCTCAAAAGACAAACATGGTATGCACTCACTCATATATGGATATTAGACATAGAACAAAGGATTACCAGTCTGCAATCAACACTGCCAGAGAAGTTAGCAAACAGGGAGGACCCTAAGAGAGAGATACATGGTCCCTTAGAGGAGGGGAAAGAAACTAGATCTGCAAAAGCAATTTTAATCACAGGTATAATATTTTACTTTCATTAGGGAATATTCTGAGGAAGCTTGGGGTACTGTTGCTAATGAAATGACAAAACATTGTTTTCCAGTTTCCTACTGCAACCATTTTGACTTATCCTGCAAAGCATGGGCCTGAGACATGAGAAGCATTCAATTGTCATTTGCCCAAACACAATCTTTTTTTTTAACAATATTTATTTTTTTTTTGTTTTACGAGACAGGGTTTCTCTGTATTGTTTTGGAGGCTGTCGGTCCAGTCTAGCCTCGAACTCACAGAGATCCGCCTGCCTCTGCCTCCCGAGTGCTGGGATTAAAGGCATGCGCCACCGCCGCCCGGCCCAAACACAATCTTAACCTTGGAGATATCTACATGAGTAGTTTAAATGCTTACGGTTACAATTATCCGTGGTTGTTTCTCTTAGTTTGTATAGGAGCTAAATAGCTTTATCTAAGGTCTATATAGGTAGAGACAGATTATTTGCTATATCATTTGTAAAACTGGGCTGATTTTGCTTTTCCCATGAGTCACCCTTTTTAACTTTTCTTTTAAGCTATTTGAAAACAAGGACCTAAGTTTTGTCTAAACATTCCTTGGGTATTCCCTACTTTTTCAAGGATCATGGGTAGAAGCAACTGCCCAGCAAGTGCTCTTGATAAAATCTCAGTTACCAAATGTTTCATCTACCAATTACAGGTGCCAATGTTAGAGTATACCTGAAAGTCAATGAACAAACCACTGCCCCCCTGTGAATTCTAACAGCTGGTACATGTGCCACATATTAACTTCAGGGACTGACTCAAGGCACTTGGTTTTTCTAAACCATATATATTTCGATTAAAGAATAGAAAAACAACAAAAAGCACTAGCAGCCTTGTTGGGTGTAACTTTCACCTTTTAGCCCTAGTAGGTAAGTAGTAGTCATAAGCCAATAACACCCTCTACATGGTATCATCCTAACCTTGAAGCAGTCTTGGCTGTGATAAGACTCAAATGGAGAGAGGGAAGTTCTTTCTTTCCTCTCTACATTCCCATCAACTGGACAGTATTTACTGCTTGGGAGAGTCAAATGGATAAGTCAATACTTATAAGAGGAAGAATAGGACCAGGTAGTATAAAGAAGATGGATAAATGTCTTTTCTCACCTTTAAGCACATTTTATATATAGTCATGCCTACTGTGGCAATAGGAATAAGTTATCAACAACTCTGCCAGATGACTCTGAAAGAAACACATGATGAAAATCTTTGATAAACATCACCTAGGGGAGGAATATTTACCAGAAAGTTGAAGGATGTGCAATGAAGTGGGACAGCTGATTATCTTAGCAAATAACGAAGATTTCCGTAAGTGGGACAGATCTGAGTTAATCTTCACCATAACAGCTCCTGTCCAGCGAGTCCACATGTCACCTTTCCATTTGCCTGGATGCAACAGTACTTCTCACTCACAAAGTCTAGCTCGAAGTGATCAGCCTAAGAAACTGCCACAGGCCTGATCACAGGGAGTCAGGCGGCCCTGGGTACTTGTTGCCACATCCACTTCACTGCCTCTGAAAGCTTTGGTTTTTCACCCAAAGTGAAAGAATAATGTCAAATCCCATAAATAATACATCCAGAGAAAAGGGTTGTTTGAACACTGTATCTGGAGAGGCCCTGCTAAGATAAAAGTCTCCATTCCATGCTTATCTTGCTGGCAGAAAACAAGGCAAGCAGTGAGGCAAAGGCTGTAAGTTACCCAAAAGTGTGTAGGAGAAAGGACCCAAGGAGAACGTGAAGTTGAAAACCTTGCATGCAGAGAGCAATAAACTATATGTATAGCAAATCTGCAATTCAAGTGATATGAAAATGGGTTTGATCTAGTTTTTTAATGTTCTGAATTCCAACGTTTTTGCTGTTGTGATTGGACACAGAGTAAGTTTGAAGTTAGCGCTCCAGCATCTCATCTCTCCTTGTGCTAGCTAGTATTTATGTCAGCTTGACACAAGCTAGGATCTGGGAAGAAGGGATCTGAGTCGAGAAACTGCATCCACAGGATTGGCCTGTACACAAGTGTATAGACATTTTCTTGATTGACGGTTGAGCTGGCAGGGCCCAGCTCACTGTGGGCAGAACTGCTTCTGGGAAGGTGGCTCTAGGACAGGAGGCAAGCTGCAAGCCTGTTAAAGTGAACAAGAAAGTAAACGTTACTGCTCTATGGCTTCTGCTTCAGTTCCTGCCTTCAGGACCTCACCTTGAGTTCCAGCCCTGACTTTCCTGGATGAAGAACTATGATGTAGAAGTGGAAGGAAAACAAACCCTTTTTCTTCAGGATACTTTTGTTCATGGTGTTTTATTACAGCAACAAAAGCCGTAAGATCCTCCTAGACAAGCAAAGGATATAATCAACCAGAATAGGTAGTCATGTGCAATCTTCACAAAAAACAGTAGGAAGCCTGTATGTTGCAATACCAAGGCAAGAAGATAGGTTACAATAAATATTAACCCAGCCATCTAAGTGCCTTGCTAGTTGGGCTTTGCAGAGACACTGATCTTACTGTAGAAAACACAACTAGTATTTCAGCATTGTCTGATGAACCTGTCAACATGCATTTAAAACAGTCTCTAAATGAAGACTATCACGAAATATACAAGTCTGATCAAAAGCCTCCTAGGGAAGATTAGATTTAGATTAAGCAGTCAATTCATAATTATCTGTAGGAGTCAAAAACAAAACTAGGTAACACTTGGCTTTGACACTTATAGTAACTTCACATAGTTATATCTTACCACTTTAGTTCTTAGAAAAATACATCATGTAAGGTTTCCTTTTCACTCTTTTATTCTGAAAACATTCATATGCACAATGCATAGCATCAAAGGAAAATGTCTAAAGATAAATATTACTTAGGGGTGTGTGTGTGTGTGTGTGTGTGTGTGTGTGTGTGTAATATGTATGTGCCTGCACGTTGAAGGCAAGAGGTTAATGTCAATTCAATCGTTCTCCTCATGTATTGAGACAAGGTCTCTTACTACACCTGTTACTAACAGAATTATATAGACTGGCAGTCCAACAAACTCCAGTCTCCCCACTGCCACACAGCTACCATATCCTGCTTAGTATGTGTATAGAGACCTCATTCAGGTCCTATGCTTGTGAAGCAAGCTCTTTCCCAGCTGCGACATCTCCAAGCCTCTTGTTGAGATGTAAATTTCACCATTTATCACCTGGAATCAAATCAGAATCTGAAAATTAAATATTGTGATGATTAATTTTTATTGTCAACTTGATGTATTTCAGGATCACCGTGAAAACAAATCTCTAATCATGTCTGTGAGTGATTTTCTAGATTGGGCTAATTAAGGAATAAAAATTCACTCTATATGGACATGGTATCATTTATGAGATGGTGTCCCAGACCACACTGATAAAAGGAAAAGAGGGACAGAGCAACCGTACTAATCTCCATCTCCTTCCTAAGTGTAGATTCAGAGTGACCAGCTGCCTCAAGCCTCACCATTACGATTTCCTCATCAGAATGCACTGTATCCTGGAAGTATAAGATACCATAAATCTCTCCTTCCCTCAGGTGATTTTGTAAAGATTTTATATATACAGAAATGAGAAAAGCTCTGGAAATTTTAATCAAATATTGTATAGTGTTGACACAAGCACAGTCATGTCAAGGATTGTAGTATTTATATAATTATTCTTTATCAATAAAAAGATAGGAGTCAGATATCAGGGTAAGAACCTGATTGATCACAGAAATGGCTAAGAAGCAACCAGTGAACTCCTTTCTCTCTTCTTCCTCAATCCAAAGGGCGAAACTTTCTCACAGTCCCTCAGTTCTCCAAATGTCTATGGCTAATTTTTGTCAGCTAGTAGCTAGGTTTGCCCTCTGATTTACAGTAAACTACTGGCGTTTCAGGAGTATCAGAATGTGACCAAATATCCCACAAAATTTCCCCTTTTGTCTAAATAAAAGGGAAGGTGTTAACTCTAACACAATAAAACTATGGGCAATCAGAAAAATTATCAGGTAAGAAGTATGTTCACAATATCAGTCCATTTTCATTTCACAAATTCAGAGAAAATACTCCATTATCTTTCCTATCTTGGTGAGTCCAACATTTTATAACTAATTTATATTACCAACCTAAAACTATCCTTTTAGACGTCAAGAAAATCCTTAGACAAAAAGTTTAAGCTTTTATGTCTCTCAAACTTATACACCTTAAATCTCCTTTGTGAGTTACTTTTTGAATTTTGTAACAAGGTAACACATATCCTGGTTTCCGTTTTGACATCAACACATCCTTAAAGTATAGCAGCTGATTAAATTCAGCAGTTTTTTTTTCGAGTACCCAATGTCTCTTCACAGCTGCCATTTCTTTCTTATTAGTATTTAAAATTTTTAAAGTTAAAAATGCATTGTGCAATTAATCTCTGGGAGTCTTTATTAGCCCCTTCTGTTTACTAAGCATATCTTAGATATTTCTATAATTGCTTTCCCTGTAGGATTATGTGGTATAACTGTAATATGGTTCATGTTATAATATGCAAAAAGCTGTTTAATTTTGGGGAGTCCAGGGAAGCAGCTGTTCCTCCAGCAGCATCAGGTAAACAGGCCAGCTTCCCGGCCTGTGTTCCAGTGCCTGCAGATCTCCTGGGAACTGCACAGAGCTCCCAATCCCGGTGGGAGCCAAGCACCCCAGACTCCAGATCTTCTCTCCCACCAACAAGACCAGGAAACTAGAGGAGGCTGGGAGTCCAGGGAAGCAGCTGTTCCTCCAGCAGCATCAGGTAAACAGGCCGGCTTCCCGGCCTGTGTTCCAGTGCCTGCAGATCGCCTGGGAACTGCACAGAGCTTCCAATCCCAGCGGGAGCCAAGCACCCCAGACTCCAGATCTTCTCTCCCACCAACGAGACCAGGAAACCAGAGGAGGCAGGGAGACCAGGGGAGTACCTGTTCCTGATCAGGTACAACAGGACCCAGCATAGGGTCCAGGGGACCAGGTAGGAGGCTAAGCACCCCAGATTCCTGTTCTTCTTCTCGACCCACAGAACCAGCATTTGGACAAGGAATAGAAGAACCACCAGATTATTGGACTTGCTAGCACCCACCAAAAGGGAACTCTGGTCCCCAGACCAGTAAGGGGCTCTTTCTGCACCCACTAGAAGAAGAGATGGGAAAGAGACAATAAAAAACACAGTCAGCAACAGAAAAACAAATATGACACCGCCAGATTCTAGAGACTCCACACTAGCAAGACCCCAACATTCCAATGTGAACAAAGCAGAAGAGAACGACCTTAAAAGCACTTTCATGAAAATGATAGAGGCCCTAAAAGAGGATATAGGAAAATCCCTCAAAGAAATGGAAGAAAAAACAAACCAAAAAATGCAAGAATTGGAAGAAAAAACAAACCAAAAAAGGCAGGAAATGGAAGAAGAAATGAAGCAAAAAATGCAAGAAATGGAAGAAAAAACAAAGCAAAAAATGCAAGAATTGGAAGAAGAAACATACCAAAAAAGGTAGGAAATGGAAGAAGAAACAAAGCAAAAAATGCAAGAAATGGTGGAAAAAACAAAGCAAAAAATGAAAAAAATGGAAGAAGAAACAAACCAAAAATGGCAGGAAACGGAAGAAGAAACAAAGCACAAAATGCGAGAAATGGAAGAAAAAGCAAACCAAAAAATGCAAGAAATGGAAGAAAGAACAAATCAAAAAATTCATAAAAGGCAACAAACGGACGAAAAGATAAACAGAAAATTGCAAGAAGCAATGCAAACACTGCAAGGGTTGAAAACTGAAATAGAGTCATTAAAAAAAACACTTCTGAAGAAAGGCAGAAAATAGAAAAGCTGGACAAACAGTCAGGCACTACCAATACAAGCATTACCAACAGAATAGAAGAGATGGAAGAGAGAATCTCAAGTGTCGAAGATACACTAGGAGAAATGGATTTATCAACCAAAGAAAACCTTAAATCCAACAAATCCTTAACACAAAACATCCAGGAAATATGGGACACCATGAAAAGACCAAACCTAGGAATAATAGGTATAGAAGAAGGAGAAGAAATCCACCTCAAAGGGGCAGAAGGCATATTCAACAAAATCATAGAAGAAAACATTCCCAACCTTAAGAAAGACATGCCAATGAAGGTACAAGAAGCCTACAGAACACCAAATAGAGTGGACCACAAAAAAAATCCCCTCGCCACATAATAATCAAGACCCCAAACATACAGAATAAAGAAAGAATATTAAGAGCAGCTAAGGAAAAAGGTCAAGTAACATATAAAGGCAGACCTATCAGAATTACACCTGATTTCTCCATGGAAACTCTGAAAGCCAGAAGGTCCTGGATAGATATTCTACCTACACTAAGAGACCATGGATGCCAGCCCAGATTACTATACCCGGCAAAGCTCTCAATCACTATAGACGGAGAAAACAAGATATTCCATGACAAAACTAGATTCAAGCAATATGTGTCCACTAGCCCAGCCCTACAGAAAATTTTGGAAGGAAAACTCAAACCCAAGGAAGCTAACTACAACCAGAAAAACATAAGCATTAGAGAATCCCTCTCTACCAACAGCCAAAAGAACAAAGGGGTGAAATTCCACACATAATTCCACCAACAACAACCATCGCAAATCGAAGAAGGATGAGCAATCAATGGTCATTAATATCCCTCAATATTAATGGCCTTAACTCACCCATAAACAGACACAGACTAGCAGAATGGATTGAAAGACAGAACCCTTCCTTCTGCTGCATACAAGAAACACACCTCACCCTCAAAGACAGACATTACCTGAGAGTTAAAGGTTGGGGAAAAATTTTTCAATCAAATGGACCCAAGAAACAAGCAGGGGTAGCAATCCTAATATCTAACAAACTAGACTTTAAAATAAAATCAATCAAAAGAGATGAAGGAGGACATTACATACTCATCACAGGTGAAACCCACCAAGATGAAGTGTCTATCCTGAACATCTATGCCCCAAATACAAAGGCATCCACATTCGTTAAAGAAACATTATTAGAACTTAAACCTCAACTAAAGCCCCACACAGTTATAGTGGGAGATTTCAACACACCACTCTCACCACTAGACAGGAATACCAGACAGAAACTCAACAAAGAAGCAAAGGGTCTAATAGA